GGAGAGGGTAGAGAGTAAGTCTTTGGGCGCACACAATGCGCGGCGGGGCGGCGTGAAGCTCCAGTTCCGACAAATATTACAAGAAAAGGAAGCAGGAAGGACGCGAAGAAAAACAGCCCTCCCGCAGTCGGTGCGTAACACGGGTCCGGCCAGTGGGTCCGCAAACACCCCCGACCCGTCCCATATATCCGCTTGTTACGCTCCCCTAGAGCGCGCGCGGTGGCCGCTCTCTCTCTCTCTATACTACTGGTAGCAGCATTGTTCCGCCGCGGGTCCTTCCGCGCGCAACAAAGACCGCATAAATTCGTAACTGCAGCGGCAAAGAGAGAGACCCGAACGCGTTTACATACGAACATACTGTGTATATACACGAACGGAGCTCTCATATAAATATATGCGTTCGAGGGGGGCGGGGTGAGCTCGGGCGGGTGGAAAGAGCGATAGCCTGTTATTGTTGGAGAAAGTTTTTGGCTCGAGTCGCGGCCGCGATTATTCAGTTTTGACGCGGCAGAAGCAATTGCGTGTACATATGCGCTCACGTCAAACCCGATACGGCCACGGGGTGGCTTATACCCCCTTGGCCGACCCTGAAATTAATGGGGCCGACGTTAATGTTGTTTTCTGTCCGTTTACGTTTAATACACGCCGCGCGTATATATACCGATGCAGATGTGCCCGGCATATGGCGTGGTAATTTCGTCCCTCGAGTTATATTTTTCGCGAGAGAAGGTTATTACGGGTAGAGGCGGGGTGTATAGGCTCGTTCGGCGCGTATTAGCATTATAAAGTAGACGCGTCAGCGGTATATTTTACACTCATGCGTGAAACCTACATCCTATAGTTCTCCGTGGCCTGAATTTTTGAGTTTTCCCGCCCAGAGAGAAATCAGCGCGAAATATTAATGCAAAGCGTGTTTTCACATAAAATATTACTTAAAGCCGCTCGGGCGCGCGAATTCCTCTTCCTGTACCACTCCCGTCCTCGTTTCCCCCCTCCCCCTGCGCTCCCAGCGGAGCATGGTAAAAATTGCTTTCAAGGGTCGTTTACTGACCAAACAAGCCGGAAAGAAGATCCGGGCGGCTTCTGCACCCATGTACCGAAGAAAGCCGAGCTTCAAAGAGAAATAACACTTGCAAGCTCGAATTTCCCCGGGCCCGGAGCGCAACCTGCACACACACACACACACACACTCGTATAGGCACGACGGTCATTGCACGCGTGTATATATACGTATATATAGTGTAGCTGCGATGCAAATTTTCCTCGAGGCCTTTTCTCTGCCAGGCTCTTCGCGCACCGAGATAGTCCGTGCACGTGGATCCGAAAGCTCTCCAGTGGAGCCGAAACGAGGGAGGAAGAGAGAGAGAGAGAAAAAAAGAGGAATGTTTAAATTAGTTCCGTCGGCTGCAAACTCGTCGGCCTTTTTACCTCCTCCTTTTTTAATTAAATCATATATGTATATATAAAACACGTGGATAGAGAGGGAGTGTAGCAATCGAGGCTGTTACTCATCCCTCTCTTGGCCTCGTTCGAGGGAAAACTGATTAATCGTCGGGTAGTAGAACTTACGCAACCACCGGCACTCCTTCCTCCATCGCTATATCTTTGCCTTGCTTCTAATTTCACGTTCGCGCTTGTGGGACTCTATACCGACTATACACTCGCAGCGTACACGAATATATCATATACGTATACGTGTGTATGCTCCTCCTCTCGCTAGAGCTGAAGCTCAATTTCACGTGCAGTGGAAAAGGCCGTTCGCGAAATCGCGCTCCTGGGAGCAGATCTTCCCTCACCGCCCCCGCTTTACTTTCGCGCCGCTATTTCTCTTTGAAAACGCGCCACTTCGATTTATGTGCGTTCTCGCCTGATGGGGCTTACAGCCTCTCTACCTCGAAAGGCCGGAAAATTATCGTCCCGTATTATGCCTCGGAATTTATCAGGACAGCCTTCTCTCCCCCCCCACCCTGTTTTTTTGGCCCCTGCGCCATCTCTCCGCAGAGTAGTCTTACGCGGATAAACGCGCGATAAATCAGGAGAGCCGCGAAAGCCCGTCCGACGTGAAATCCAAAGGGGGTTTGGGCGAAGGGAGAATCGTCCTTGGAGCCGATACGTCCACAAAGACCCCAACAACAACAACAACGGCCTTCACCCCCCCACCCCCACGTGAAATTCAATTTCTGAATTAAACGGGCCAACCACCACTACCAACAACGTTGTCCTTTGAGCGACACGCGCGACATACAGTATTGTATACACATGCAATGCATATACAACAAGGGTTATACCGCGCTCTGCTTTGTGCAATTCTGCAGTAAGAGAGGGGGGGGGGAGGAAGAGAGAAGACGAGCCTGCGGCGACGGCCGCAAAAACTAAAGCTACTCGCTCTTCCTCTCGTGTGCGAATGTGAGTGCACACACCCTGCACCGGTTGTCGGGGTTAGCCCCGGAGAGAGAGAGAGAGAATAACGGCATGTGTGCGCCAGCTTGTCACTCTCTTATACTGTGCACCTCGCGCCACATCCTTCGCGCGTTCGGGGTACACGCTCTCTCTCTCTCTCTGTTTGATTTCTCGCGAATGACGGTCCGTAGGATAGATGCCTATATGTACGTACAGAGATACACCATACAACAGCCTTTATCATCCTGCATCTCTCTCTCTCTCTCTCTCGACTCGGCGTATACGCGTGTACACCGATTCTCCTTGTATGCTGCAGCGATGTCGTGCCGAGATCAGAGTCGGGGATCGCGGAAGGGTGTTAGCCAGGCACTCCGACGCGTATGCCCGCTGATCCGTGTGTGTATGTGTTTGCACGTCCGAGCGAGGGGGGTTTGGGGAGGTAAAGCCAAAGTCGACCATCAGTTGGGGGTTGGGGGGGGGCAGGCTCTCTTGTGTGCCCACACGTGGCTAGAAGGAGTAGTTTATTCAAGCACGAAAGCGAAGAGCTATAGCATTTACGTTCTACCCCACCCCCCCTACCCTCTATATACAGAGGGTGGTGCACATCGTACAATGGGTGTATATGGCACAATTCTGCTTTAGATATGACGATGGGGCGGTCGTCGAGGGCTGATGCTGGCGGGGAGATAGGCCCGATGAATAATTGATGGATTAGCAGTTGGGTTATTTTATTGATGGCGCTATGTGTATATATATATACGGGTACAATGGGTGGGGATGGGGGGGTGGGTATCTCGTGTTGTTGTTGTCGGGTTAGTGGGCTCCTAATGAAAGATCTTTGTTTTATCGGGTCGCTACCCGTTGGATTTATGTACTATTAAATTCAATGAAAATTAGATGGCCACCACCTCCTTCGAACCTTATACTGCTGCTTGGTTAAACGATGAGATGGGAGGGGGAGATATCGGACGTACGTTTTATTTCCTATACAGGGTGTACCGAATAATTTTTCGGCGCTATCTATTTTCACTTTTTCTCGTCTTCCACACGCGTGGCCATCGGTGTAATTCACGGATGAATTAATACACTCGCATAGAACCGCGCACAAGTGGGAATCCGTTCAATTGAAAAAATCAAAGGAAAATACCACTCGGTGTGTGTACGCGTATAAAACAAAGGATTTTCCAATCGAGTCCGTTTGGCAAGGATATTGTGTACCATTTCAACCGATAGCTCTTATACTATTAGCTTATGTACAATCAGTACTCGGTGTAGGTGAAATTCGGATTTTCGATACAACACAGGTTTAATGCTCTCTTTTTCTACTCCAAACTCTTGTGTATTTTGCCATATTACATGCCCGAGTTTGCTCAAACGCCGCGGATAACGAACCTGCAGCTGCAGTTCCCGTTTAATTACTTTATTTAACTTTATCCTCCACTTTACCGTGATGCGTATATACATACACACACATAGAGTGACACACACACGAGGAGAGGGGGTAAGTCAAACAATCGCGCGATATATATTCGGAACTTTGTACAAGTGCATGGTCGCACCATAGCTCTGTCGATCGATACCATGTAATTGTCTCCCTTTGTTATATATATTATAGTGTATAGGTCGCAAGAAATTTCATCGATAATCGCCCCCCCCCCTCTGCCTTTCGGAAAAATGGACTAATAAGTAGTTGGAACAAAAGATTGATGAAGTAAAGGCTGGACGAGTAATAAAGATAAGGGAGTAGTCCTCCGCGGCGCTATAAATTACTCAAATTTCTCAAGTCCCCCCTTTGCCCCCCACCAAAGGCTCGCAACTTTCATTTCTGATAGCACCTCCCCCGATCCCCCCCCCACCCCCAGCACTCGGCCGAGCGCTTGGGAGATGTTCATCAAAAAGTCCTCAAAGTATATACGCCACGGTCTCTCTAACGGCAGTCCTTTCCTCTTTGCTTTTCAGCCGAGCCATCCACAGCCGGCGACGGGGAGCTTCTTCGAAAATAGCCCGGCCGCTGTGGCAGCGCGCAAGAAGAGGAGAGGGGGTCAATGAAACGCCGTCGACGAAGACGAAGCTGAGAGGGTGCGTGCAGTCGCTCAAGTGCCCGGAGGGTATACATACATATATACATAGGTACACACTTGGAGTGGAACGATGAAGAGCATCAGCGACGGCATCAGGTGACAAAAAGGCACGGGGGGTAGGGAAGGAAGCGACGATGGAGAAAAGAGGCTACGGGACGACCCGTCTCGCGATGGCGAGTCTCAAGGTACATACACTGGAATCCAGAGGATGCTGGTGCACCTACTGAGGTCCGCCGTCGGATATTAGCTGTTTTACAGCTCGGTGCTTTCAATTACCGTCCGGAGCTCAGAGAAGACCCGGGAGCTCGTGACGCGCGTGTGTCGAGAATTCGATTATAAGTGCAGCGCATAGTGTCGGGAAGGGGGTGTACGACGAAGCAGTAGTTCGCAGATTTCCGGGCTCTGGGGGGGGTGGCCTGTGGTGCCGAGTACACTTCCGTGGAGCGGCGAGGCTAATACGGCGGCTGCACCTACATCACTCTCGGGCTCTGGCACGCTAGTCTCCTACCCCCCCGAATTGATCGACGAAGGGATAAAAGGAGATAAGAGGAGCAGGAGTTACCTACCGGTACAGGGCTGCTGTAACAGGCTGCTTGGCTGGACTGCACGTACGCTGTTATATAGTACAGTGTATACGTTTCCCCAGTCCCGGTGGTGTAGCAACAGCACGTGTGCCACATAGGAGGAGGAGGAGGATGAGCGGCGCAATGACGTTGATGTTACTGCTGCTCTCGGCACTAACTGCAGGCCTGCTCTTGGACAGCTGCCAGGCCGATGAAAAAGGTAAGATATCCATCTCTATCTCTCTGTTAGTCTCCCACTGATGGTGTAAGTGTGTGTGTATGTGTGTGTGTGTCTAAAACGTACAGCCCAAAGCCATACCACGAACACCCCCGTGTTGTGTGTATACGTGATGCAGTGGGTGCCTCCAGGAAACTAATAGGTATAGGTATAGACGTGATGGGGTGGTGGGTGGTGGGACTTTATTAGGTGAGAGAAGCAGAGAAACCGACGAGAGAAGACGCTGCCGGCAGCTGCAGCCGTGCCGCGACTGCCACACACGAGAGTTTCAGCGCAAAAACACACTCGCGCGATTAACACGGCGATCCGCAGTGTGCTATTGACGCTGCAGTGGTACACGTGTACATATACACGGAGATGATATTTTATCCGCGTTTTTTCAAAGGAAACGTGACGAGATTGCGTGTCTGTAGGAGAGGTGGCGGGGGGGGGGTGTTATTTCTCTTTTTTTATTTTAACCAGTGAAAGGACGAAGGGAATTTTATTCAAAATTCTCGGCTATGCGGACACGATGATAGATCGGAGCTGATGCATCACGGTCCAAGTTAAATTGGGATCGGGAATATTGACGGATCGATGAGTAAACCGGGCCAAAAACAAGCTTTTATAAAGAAAAAAAATTTTACTAGGAAACACGCTATGTAGGATTGCGAAAATAAGTAGGCACTTTCGCGCTCTCGCGGGAATTTACGCGAAAACTCTCGTTTTGAGCGTGAAAAGCGAGTGGATTGCCGATAGTTGCCTGCACTGAACGGAACACAGGAACGTGATTACGGGAATGAAATGGAAGTAAAGTAATGAAAGGGAAAAAATGGGGGTGGGGAGAGATAGCAAAGAAGCGTATACCCACTTACCTGCAATAAAGTTATCATAAGTACGCACGCGAAGAGTGGGGAGACATTACCCGCAGTTCATAGTAGTATACCGTGGAGAAAAAAAAAAAAGAAAAAGTGCAGCGATGTGGGGGGCCAGGGGGGGCTGAAAAACTTGAAAGAGCATCGGTTGTTTATCGAAGCACGCCCCGATAATAATTCCCAGCGGTAAACCGGTAATAATATTATTCAGTATTGCCCGGCAGCGAAAAGAATTCGAGAGAAAGTCGTAAAATATTATAGACGCGAACGAGAGCCAGGGGGGGGCTTGTACGCGCGCGAGTTTCGAAACGAAAAAAGGAAAGGGGAGCGGGAAAGAGAGAGAGAGAGAGACACTTAAAGCGCAATACCATTCTGCGCGAAATGGATTTTCTCGCTAGATCCGCGAGTACAGGGTACATCGAGAGAATGAAGAGTAAAAGGAAAAAAAGGGGGGGTAGAGAAGTAGGTACACGAACGAGTTCGGTATGTTAGGAATCGAGAAGAGAAGAAAGAGGAGTAGTAATATACAGCAACGGGTTGGTATACACGATTTGGCTATCGCGCGCAAAAATAATCGACGCCGGGCTTTTATTGCTATACGATCCGCGAGAGCGTTTCTCTTTTTTTTTTTTTTTTTTATTTTCCTCGCAGAGCCCGTAACCAGCAACCACCCACGTGCGTGTGTGTTTTTATTGCCACTCGTACCTACACACACGCTCCGGCTCGGATTATCCTTATTTTCGCAAACTAGTTTTTGCTCGTGTTTTCGAAACTTCGGCTCTTCGGGAAAATAATTTCGCGTCCACGTTCGTACTCTGGTCGGTATAGATATCCACGCCGAGTTGCCACTGTGTGGGTCATGAATTTGTCGCGAGCTTTGCTGCGCGACTCTGATTTGAGGATTAATAGGGGTTATCGGGATTGTACATTCTTAGCCTCGTAATTCATTCGATTGAATACAAATGTTTTTTTATTATGATTATTATTATTATTTTTTTTTTTTAATTCATTTTGCCTTTGCTAATTTTTCGGAATGGAAATTCCATATACCCACCGAGCGAATGTACGTATACATGTATGTTCTATTTCAGATCGATGTAATCCCCGGCACGGTCTTCATGGAAATGTTTGAATTTGATGTTTGCGCAGCGCGCCGCGTACACAAAATCATATTCGACAACTCGCGTTACCAAATCAAATACCATTGACGAGCCACATCGAGTTAAATACGCTTTGATTTGTCACTAATTAACAATCTACTATGTACGAATATTACTGCGCGTCGTATATTTGATGAAAGACTCGAATTTCATTTTTTCCGATGACTCAAGGAGTATATCGATTAGTAGAGGTACGGCGTGTAGGGATAGAGCTTTTTATCTCCCATGTTTTTGGCCACGGGAAGAAAGCCCTCCGTTTTGTGCTGGCGGTGTTCGTTCAGGTGGTCCCTCTTGATGAAATCGGCGACGCGCTCTCCGACCATCATTATCGGCGCTCCCACGTTGCCGGACGTAATCTGGGACGAAAAAAAAAAAAAAAAGAAAAGAAAAAAACCATCAAACCATTGGAGAAAAAAAAAAACTTTCGTAAGTGAGTCCACGTACCTTGGGAATAACCGAACCATCGGCCACGCGCACTCTGTGCACACCCCGGACTTTCAAAGTCATTGGGTCCACCACGGCCATATCGTCCAGGCCCATCTTGCACGAGCCGACCTGATGATTCTCCGGATCTGTGTTATACCTAAGTGCGCACTCCCAGTAGGCAGGTGTCTCCAGATCATGCTCCTTGCACGCCTCGATCGGGTCATTCATCAGACGTGGCTCGTACTTTCGCATTGCCGGGGAAGCAAACAACTTCCGGGCCATCTCTATCCCGGCGAGCACTCCCTTGACGTCCATCAACGAGGACAGATAATTTTGCGTGATGCTTGGATGCTTGAAGGGATCCTTGGTGGCCAAGCTCAGAGTACCACGGCTATGGGGGTGCAGGTACGTGGGCACGATACCGATCTCGCGCTGACCGCTCTTTTTCGCGCTGCACGAGCCCGAGTATCCCCGGAAGTAGAACTGAAGGTCCGGGTGGTCAGGCGTGGTGTACTTTGAACTGAGCATACCCGTAAATTGGCTGAGCCCAGTCGAGGACGTCGGACCGGTCCTGTTGGATATGTACTGCTCGGCTGCCGACTGGAAAAAATCGGTATTCTCGGCGTTTATCAGGTACCGAATGGTGTAGGACACGTGGTTCTGGAGATTCTGGCCCACCCCCGGGAGGTCCTTCACAAGATTGACCCCCTTCTCCTCGAGGTGCCTCGCCGGCCCGATGCCCGAAAGGAGTAGGATGTGCGGCGAGCCCACGGCACCCGCCGAGAGGACGACTTCCTTGTTCACCTCGACCTGGTGGAACAGTCCGTTCCAGATGAACTGCACTCCAGTTGCGACCGTCGGGCGCCACGGGTTCTGGAAGAGGATCTTGGTCACGTGCGCGTTGACAATCACGTGCAGGTTCTTCCTGTTGCGGACGGGACGCAAGAAAGCCGTGGCGCTGCTGACTCTGGTGCCATTGACACTCGTCGTCTGGGCCACGTTGAAACCAGTGATCTTCTGGCCATTGAGGTCCTCGCTCACCCCGAAGCCGGCCTCCTGCGCCGCCTCCAGAATGTCCTTTGTGATTTCCGGCTGGTGGGAAAACCTCCCGATGTGGAGGGGTCCTCCGGTCCCGTGGTTCGCTTTGTCGTCGGCGAACTCGCGGTTGTTCTCCGAGCGCTTGAAGTAGGGTAGGACGTCGTTCCAGGTCCAGCCGGGGATGGCCCAGCTGTCGTAGTCCTTGGCGTGGCCTCTCATGTACATCATGCCGTTGTGTACACCGCTGCCGCCCAGATTTCTGCCCCTGGGCCAACTGCAGCTGCCGTTCGAGCTGAGACAGGCATGCTTCTCCCCCGTGGTCCTGTACTTCCAATTAAGATCCGAGCCCAGGAATGATCCCGTCATGCTGGGCACGAGAGCACCTACTGGCTAAACATAATGTGACGTTTTTGAGTAGACATTTATGCATCCGTGGGTACAGGTATATACCCTAAAAGTGAATTACCTCCTCGGGGCCAGCCTCGACCAGTAGGACGTTCCAACTTTCGACTTCGCTTAAGCGCCCGGCCACCACTGCGCCAGCGCTACCACCTGCGTATTTGTAACACGGGGTTATTGTGGTCATAACACATGATTTGTCCATCGATATACTTACCACCGACGACGATAAAGTCGTATTCAGCCTTGATTTTTCGGTCGGAGCAGAATTGCGGAAATTGCGGCTTCAGCGAGCTGATTATGCTCAGGAAGAGCAGTAATGGATTTCCCGCGGGACACGCATTTGGCCCGTCGTAATAGGCGGAGCAAACGCCGGAATTGTCGAGGGCCAGCGACATAGCGAACAGAGAAGGAGAGACTCAAGTATATCGAGAAACGGTGATCGGTGACTTTTCACTCGCACATCGTCGTCGTTTTTAACAATTGTACTTAGAACGTATTATGGAAACTTTCGGTGGTGCGGAGTACTTTTTGCCCAAACTGCGAATCTCTGTGACAAAAGTTTTGACTCTTTGTACAAGTGCAATCCTCGTGGTCTGTTTTATATATTGGTATGGCCCGGGTGTGATTACATCAACAACTCTCTTGCAGCTGCTCTTATCTTTTCTCCTATTCTTCGAGACGATCGAGTCGATGTCGTATGCGTGTTATAAGTCGGCACGTATCTGATATCAACGCGAGATAAGAGACTCGCTTTTTTTTCTTTCGACTTTATTGTAAAATTGAAAAAAAAAGTGCCTTACTGATTTCGTTTTACAAATTGCAGAAAAAGTTTTTTTTCTACCCCCAGCTGTTTGGGGTTCTAGGAGTCGCGACAAAGAGTTGAAAGAAAAATGACGTGTTGCATAACTTGCGTACGTAACAAAGTTAGCGCGTTTCTCATTTTCGTAAAATTTTCAAATTTCGTGGTACGGATGTTAATGAAAATTGACGAAACTCGCATGCGCTCAAAAATATTAGCATAGAAAGCGAAAAAAATAAAAAAAATAAATAAAAATAACGTGTATATCAAATTATTAAATAAAAAGCCACGAATTTGTGTTTG